GGTTTGTACAGCAGTTCTTGACGCATCCGAAACAGTATCACGAGTAACCATCGCTGATAACTCTCAGTATTAACACAACTAGAAGCTATGGAGAGAAAAGCGCCTTTATTTCCTTAGATGTCGAGCTCAGACGACGTTATGTAAAGACTTTCAGTCACCATTGAGCAAATTTTGCTCAAAAGTTTATCAGACTGTAATTAGAATAATGGACGAAAGCATTTTCTATGCGACGAACAAGATATAAAATTATTGTCAAACTATTTCAGAAGTGAATATCCTATGTTCCAAACACTGTCAAAATTGTAAAATGCATCAGTGAAGAACGATCGTTGCTTTTTCGAGAATTTGAATTTAGCTTCAGGCAGTAACCAAAACTATCACAATTAAAAAGATTCGACACAAGTATGCTGGAATACATGATCGGTAAGTGCTTCTCTCAAAACACCATGTGTATCTGAAAATTCCCTTAACTGCGGTTCCATCTTGAACCCTCACGTTTGTTCAGCTGTTCACGCTGTTTTTAAGACAGCTAGCTCATTTTTCCACAGAGATATCCATATTTGGCAGACGCTATTTTTAAAATTTTCTTTTACAATGATCCATGAAGAGTTCTGAATAGGAATTATTATGAAAAAGTCTTGTTACGTCAAAAAATCGCGATTTCTAGGAGCCTCGCTTACCTTATAGCTAAATTTTCTTTCAACTTCTTTCTAGAAATCGCGTATGTTAAAATCCTGAGGCCTCAGAATTCAACTCAGTCGATCAGATCTATCTTGCCTATTTTATACAGACTTTGTGATATTATATTCGTATTCATTGGGATATAAGGAGCTGGAAGTTTTGACTCCAAGAAAACACCTCACTTGAATCTCTAACATAAAGAATATTCCTTCAGGAGCAAATCTATCGTTGCTTCAGAGCTCACCATTTCTGTTCAATATTTATTATAAAACTGTATCATACCCATCTACCTCTGAAACTAGATGAATTGGTATCCACTCGATTGCTGATCATTGCTGTTAATGTTTCTTGTTTCGAGGTCATATGTTCCGATGCCGGAGTCACTGAATTGAAAATATTCGATGAACTCGAGACAGTTGATGGTAAGAACGAATCAATCGTCTACTATTGTAGGCTTGTTTAGCGGATCAAGTTACCTATTATTGACTGAATACTACTGCTATCCATGTGTATTGGAACTGATGGCACCTTCGAGCTAGTGGGCGTCAGCGAGATTGCTGCTGATGAGCTTCGAAAGATACTTGTACCTATAAGTAAATTGTATGCAAAGCGCTTCACCGGATTGAACCAACCAAAATCTGAGGTATGGATCGCTAAATAGTTGAAATAATCTTCTCCAAAAGTATATCATGCTTTTGCATATAAATGATTATCATAAACCCATAAAGACATTATAAACATTATGTCATAGACTTTAAAGAAAACACGAGACAACCACATCACCCATATTTCGGATGTTCCGACTCACGGCTGAAGAAAGGAGCGAGACTACGCAGTACTGCAGACGTAAACTCAATCGATCAAATTCTTTTCGATTTATAAGATTCCATGTTGCTGCATCAACAGAACTTTTTGTGCACTCATACTACAAAAATGACTCTAAGTTTTTGCTTCGCGAGCTGACTATGAACACTGCTTGTGACCAAATACTCAGCCTTATTTCATGTGTCTAATCCGGATGCATCAGACAAACAACTAGCATTAGTCCATTCACTGACCTACTCTCAATACTTCCAGCGTCAGATGATACAGACAGACCTACAGACAACCAAGCATTCATCTTGGCGAAATGTCAAACGATATAATGTGAGAAATGTCAAAGAATATAATACCGTCTTCAGTGACTGTTGAGCTATTCATGGTTGCTTCATTTGATATCGCCTGTCCTGGCGTACGAAGCGCTGAATATTGTTGAGTGGTTAACACTAAAAGTTCAAGAATACCGCTATGTCGACTATGCTTTAACTCAGACTACCTGCCGTTGTTTGAGCTGTGTTGATCATGTTCTGTTGGGTTGAGAGTGATTCTTCATCACTACTCAATGTCAGTTCAACAGATATCAAAGTTGTCGTGGATGTTTCTGACAGAGTATAAGACTGTTGGGTCGTTAGCGCTAAAAGTAGAATAACATATATCGAAGCTCAAAGAGAAGAAATACACGCTCATTAATTTTTCCGCACGAATAGCAGTTACCGTAGGAAACGTTACACAATAATTCATCTATCCGAACAACTGTCTAAGTACGGTTTGTACAGCAGTTCTTGACGCATCCGAAACAGTATCACGAGTAACCATCGCTGATAACTCTCAGTATTAACACAACTAGAAGCTATGGAGAGAAAAGCGCTAGCACGACGTCCTAGCAACTAGCACTGGACGAGTCATCGACTTATTTTCTCAATGTTTGCATCGATAGATGTATGTAGGGCGGTCTATTTTCCAGCTTCTGGAATGTTAACGTACGTTCTGAGTTCGATTTCCAGTTGAGGCATATGTTTTCATTTCACATGTTTGTGTATCGTATTGAGTCTTGCTGTTAACCGTTTCAAAAATTATTTTTTGTAATTTTATTTGGGTTATGTGGTTTTTCGTCGTTTTGTGAATTAGTAAACAAATTCGAATTATCGTATTCCATATGGACAAAGTATTTTTTTTTAGATGATGTTGTTTAACATCGCTACGGCGAAGTCATTTTGTTTCTATCTATAGTACCCGTTTTCAAGTGAAGCCTTAGAGATACAGAGATAAGATGGGGTCCTTGTTCTGACGGGAAACATATAGCTTTTACTTGTGTAGAGTTACAACTCATATTTTGCGTTTTAAAAATTATTTTTGTAATTCGTTATGGACCTTTACCTGTCGCCGTTTGTGCATTACTGATATGTGGTGGTGCTGTTGAGATATCGAGGAGAGTAGTCATTAGAATAGGTGGTGGCGGCTGATAATATGCCCAAGATGGTATCCAGTCTAAAGTAAGAGCATTATAAGAAGTCTTTCAAAGAATCAATGAATCCACCACTTACTTTTTTGGCAATCAGCTCCATCTATTTCAATAGTAACACGAGAAGGTGGCAGATTATCCGACGTATTCAGTATTTGTATCTCAGCACGAGAAAAATACGCAATCGACGATGGAATCTTTATCGTATTATTCAGCGAGCTATTAAGTGCCACAGTCCACGTTTTGTTCGTTAAGAAAAATTTTGCTTGTAACAGGGTCACATTGCTTTTGCCTGGTGAGACACGAATTTCTCGAAGCGCTGATGTGTTTGGAGCTATAGTCAGTTGAGATGAAATTGCACCATTGAATGTCATGTTGATGATATAGGGTGATTGGGTGAAATTAAAACCGAGTGCATTACGAGCTTTGATCAATGGTAACAGTTGGACTTGTGTCATTTGAATATCGGCAACAAGACTTGAATTTTTCATTATATCTGTGAATTGTGTGTTGTTTGTATGGTCTGCAATAGAGGAATTCGTTTGACCAGCTAATAAACGTGCAAAATTATACACATACTGATACAATCCTGTACATTGATGTTGATTGTCATATTCCGCGGCAATACTGATGCGTTTGTCACTTCAATGCGAACGCCATTGAATGTGAAGTTGGAGCATGTGAATTGGATGGAATTATTGATCAACATAAGTGGTGGAAGAGGCCCATCTGTTCTCATAAAACAAACATTATGAGGTAATATCTGATAGCGCACTTATCGTTTCATCAAAGTGTTGGCCTATCCTACCCTCATTAATCTTATCGATTGTTTCTTGTGTGGAGAATGATATACTTCTATGCGAACTTTGCTCACGTCTCATTGATATAAGCGCACTAGCCTCGATTTCTTCAGTTAATAAACTCTTACCGAGTTATGACAACGCTAAATCTTGTCTGATTGACGCCCATGACAAAGTATTTCGATCGAAACTCTGAGACGTAGCGCTGGCAACCTGAGCGGTCGCACTGTTTATAACCGATGTCGAAATCTCATATGGACTGTCACCTAATCGGAGTGTGCTGCCGACCACAGTACTTGTCAAAGTACCATTACGTGCTAGCATGTATTCACTCGTGACCATCGATGCGGACACGTCACTTGTATCACCTGACGCAATCACAGCTATGGGCGTGTAACATGAAAACGTTTTCAGTTTTACAATATGAAGGATCGGACAGATTTTGTTAAATCTCAGTATTTAAGGATTTTGAGCGATGCTCTTTTCAATGACTAACTCGAAAGAATTTTGAAAGTATCGAAAGTAGGGTTTCCGGAAAACCACGGTTTTTCGCACATCCATTTACAGAAACTATTCTTTTTTTAAAGAAACACTTATCTATCACAATCTGAAATTTTTATTTAAATTTGACAATTTGAAATTTTAACTCTTTTTAAAAATGTACTCCTCACATTCACAGGCCAGCTGAAACATTCTCAAGGACATGGTTGGATAGAGTTCGAAAAGCTGAATATATCTGGACCGTTGATCAGTTCCAAACCTTGGGCTGAAGCTATTTCTAAAGATTTTTCCATAACCCACATATAAAATTTATATGTCAGTTCCTTTTTCAGCACTTTAAAAGCATGTGAGGGAATTTTAAGATACGGTTATCGATAGACTTTCAAGAGCTGAACAAAACCCAACGGCGTTCTAATGTCAAGTGGACGATTTTGAACACATTTTAAACAGTTTTCTAGAAAACTTCCGACAAATTTTCGCTTATTTTCCACTATTATCCATACTTCCGATATTTTATCGAGCTTTTATCGCATGTGATGCATGTAAGCGACTTCATTCTGCTGTTTAAAGATCGTCTATGGTTTTTTCGTAGGTTTTTGACGTTTTACTACCATACTGTAGTTTTTTTCCGTTCTGTAATCTACTATTTCATAGTTATACACACTTTCTCTTCTTATCAAAGCGTGATATTGAACTGCCTTTTAAAAGTATGCCGCAAATCTCACTGTAGTACGACGGATGAGGAAAACAGTATGGTTCGTGAAAAAGCTTGTTCGTTGCATCCCGAACGCGCTCACGTTCACAATAACAAAAAGGATCTACACTTGAAAGGTTAATATAACCTCGAAAATCTACTCTGACTCAACCTTTTGTGTCTACCCAAAAAAACTGCATGCTGTATAAAACGTCAGAATCGAATTCAAATGGAAGCAATACTACATGATAGGGCACCAAAAGAACAAATCAATTTGTCGTCACTGACAAAATCTTGGGCGTGTCTGTTGTCTCACCTGCGACGATCGATGTGGATACGTTACTTGGATCACTTGACTCAATCACAGCCATTGACAAAGTGTTGGATGTGTCTGTTATCTCACCCGTGATGATCGATGTGGACACGCCGCTTGAGTCAATCACAGCCATTGACAAAGTGTTGGATGTGTCTGTTATCTCATCTGTGATGATCGATGTGGACACGTCACTTGAGTCAATCACATCCATTGGCAAAATGTTGAATATGTCTGTTATCTCACCTCCGACGATCGATGTGGACACATCATTTGGATCAGTTGAGTTAATCACAGCCATTGACAAAGTGTTGGATATGTCTGTTATCTCACCTGCGACGATCGATGTGGACACATCATTTGGATCAGTTGAGTCAATCACAGCCATTGACAAAGTGGTGGATATGTCTGTTATCTCACCCGTGATGATCGATGTGGACACGCCACTTGAGTCAATCACAGCCATTGACAAAGTGTTGGATATGTCTGTTATCTCACCTGCGACGATTGATGTGGACACATCACTTGGATCAGTTGAGTTAATCACACCCATTGGCAAAATGTTGGATATGTCTGTTATCTCACCTGCGACGATTGATGTGGACACATCACTTGGATCAGTTGAGTTAATCACAGCCATTGACAAAATGTTGGATGTGTCTGTTATCTCACCTACGACGATCGATCTGGACACATCACTTGGATTACTTGACTCAATCACAGCCATTGACAAAGTGTTGGATGTGTCTATTATCTCGCCTCTGACGATCGATGTGGACACATCATTTAGATCAGTTGAGTTAATCACAGTCATTGACAAAGTGTTGGATGTGTCTGTTATCTCACCTGGGATCTCGGTTTTCAGAGGTTGTGGATCAACGACGGGGTGTCCTTGAACTCCGAAAAATGTAACTTGTGCGACTAGGCCTGTGTAATTGGACAGAGACAGGCGGATGCTGGCTAAACTGCTGATACGTTCAGTGAAATAAATATCGACCGAACAGGGATAATTCGTACAACTAAAACCATTTTGATTCAAGGTTAACAGATCGTTGAGCGACGGGGAAGTGACGTTGGCGCCGTCTTCAATAGCAGCGACGATATTCGAGTTGATTAAGTTGGCGGACGGTTGGCAGCAGCATGCTGAATTAGAATAAAGTGTAATGTGAAGCAAAAGTGTATAATGGTAGTAACAGTCAGTTTTACACGATTGACAGATAATCTGATAGATAACTGCGTGAAAAGAAAATGTATATGTGGATTGCTGTTTTAGTGATATTTCTGAGCAGTGGGAAGAGTATTCTGAGTTCAACCCTTAGTCGAGATATATGTTGTCTTTTCACGAGCTTTCCTACCGGATTATTTTCTTCTCAGTCGCGTAAAAAAAGTAGAATTTGACTTTTGATACACTAAACGGAACGAAATACCCAATATTTCTTGACATAATATCAAATTGGTTCCATTTGTGATATTTTCAAACGTTTTCGGATCACTCGTTTCGAAACGGATACTGGTCACGTCAAGGCAGGCTGTCAAATCGAGATAGCTCGAATTCATTGTGTATGTTTTGGTGTGCAATGATGTAGTGACGTGTGCTGTAATCACTGAGGGTGATGATGTTCCCAAATCTACCGCAATTAGAGTAACTGACCGAGAAGTAAAACTAATTGTTAGATTGAGATCACTAAGAGTATCAACGGTGACCGTTTCATTTTCTCCGTATGTTCCGATAAATGCAGCTAGAGTAGCATTGTACATCGCGGTATATGTGTCGTTGCATGCTAAACAAGGATCAACCATGCATTTCTCCTGATAAATTTCAATCGATCAACTCACTTTGTTGCTGTTTTTCGCATACGCAGCATGCATCCTCGGGCCACAGGTATGTGAATCCATCGTTCCATTTCTCATCAGAGAGAAAAATGCCGTTTGCACACCCTTGATTAGCATACTCTGCACATTCCTGTCCATGATTATTGCTCCAACCAACTGTGACATTACAAACTATAATTTATCGAAGAAAAAGAAGTAAACGCCAGAGAGTGGCCATACATCCTGGTAAAGCTGCAATTCTTCACGGTATAATAAAACTAGACCGAACTGCATTACATGACGTTTCTACGAGTGGTAGTAACGTTTCACATCTTTTTCAGTCAGAATAAATAAGACGACGATCAAAACAGATATTATTCTCATCACATGTTTTAAGGTTAAATGTTATGGACTGGTTATTCTGTAGGTTCTCTCACATGTGCTCACCGCTTTTTCGATAACATAATTATTAGAGACACAGTATTTTAAGAATGATATAAGACAGTCTCTTTTAAGAAGAAATAATCCAGCAAGATGTGGAATTCATGTTGGCGAAATGTCAAACGATATAATGTGAGAAATGTCAAAGAATATAATACCGTCTTCAGTGACTGTTGAGCTATTCATGGTTGCTTCATTTGATATCGCCTGTCCTGGCGTACGAAGCGTTGAATATTGTTGAGTGGTTAACACTAAAAGTTCAAGAATACCGCTATGTCGACTATGCTTTAACTCAGACTACCTGCCGTTGTTTGAGCTGTGTTGATCATGTTCTGTTGGGTTGAGAGTGATTCTTCATCACTACTCAATGTCAGTTCAACAGATATCAAAGTTGTCGTGGATGTTTCTGACAGAGTATAAGACTGTTGGGTCGTTAGCGCTAAAAGTAGAATAACATATATCGAAGCTCAAAGAGAAGAAATACACGCTCATTAATTTTTCCGCACGAATAGCAGTTACCGTAGGAAACGTTACACAATAATTCATCTATCCGAACAACTGTCTAAGTACGGTTTGTACAGCAGTTCTTGACGCATCCGAAACAGTATCACGAGTAACCATCGCTGATAACTCTCAGTATTAACACAACTAGAAGCTATGGAGAGAAAAGCGCTAGCACGACGTCCTAGCAACTAGCACTGGACGAGTCATCGACTTATTTTCTCAATGTTTGCATCGATAGATGTATGTAGGGCGGTCTATTTTCCAGCTTCTGGAATGTTAACGTACGTTCTGAGTTCGATTTCCAGTTGAGGCATATGTTTTCATTTCACATGTTTGTGTATCGTATTGAGTCTTGCTGTTAACCGTTTCAAAAATTATTTTTTGTAATTTTATTTGGGTTATGTGGTTTTTCGTCGTTTTGTGAATTAGTAAACAAATTCGAATTATCGTATTCCATATGGACAAAGTATTTTTTTTTAGATGATGTTGTTTAACATCGCTACGGCGAAGTCATTTTGTTTCTATCTATAGTACCCGTTTTCAAGTGAAGCCTTAGAGATACAGAGATAAGATGGGGTCCTTGTTCTGACGGGAAACATATAGCTTTTACTTGTGTAGAGTTACAACTCATATTTTGCAGTTTTACCATCGAATTTTAATTGCATTGAACAATCTTTGTTGAATTTTTCTACAACTTTGATTTTTTTCGAATTTTTTCGAGAGGGTTTTGCTGAAAAATCAAAGTTGTCTACAAACTCGGAAACAAGGATTGTTCAATGTCGTCTTTAACGGTAATTCCAGATATGATGGTAGTTTTGAGGAAGAATTGAAGTTTCGTTAAAAGATCGTCGTTTATATTCCGGTTTCAACGGTGATCACGAAAAATATAATTTCAAGCTTTCAAAATGAAGCCAAAAATATTAATTAAACCAAAAATAAATGGTATGGAAAGTTTGAATTTGATGCATCTTACGTCGCAGTTACAAGACAAAAGATGATTTGGAAGTTTGCAAAGCTTTCTTGGAGTTAAGCAGCATTATCTCATTCAAGGTGTCTACAAAGGATAAAAGTTTGTGTGATCCTACGGTTGTAGAAGTAGAGGCAACTCTCACGCGGCGCTTTGTTCATTGTTGTCACGGATTATCACGAAGGAACAATCTGCTGCAACGAATGAGTATAATAATTTTTCACTCAGTAGCTACGAGACAAGTAATCGTCGGTTAGAACGATTTGTTTCTTCTACGGTTCAGTAGACAAATACATACGAAGAACGAATAGTGAAAATTCTTTGAATCATGATACGTTGCAAACATATCACCGGAACAAAAAAAATAAAGTTGGTTTAGAGTTGCTGAAAAGTGATTTTTCGTATTCATCACACTCGATAACCCAGAAGATTTTCTATTTTTGGCCCGAGGTACTTCCGAAAGTTTAAGAAAAATTTTGAAACAAAATGGCGCACAAAGTTTTCCATGGAAAAATAATATTAATTTGAAAATTTTTCCTAAACTTTCGGAAGTACCTCGGGCCCAAAACAGAAAATCTTCTGGGTCATCAATCGAGTGTGCTGAATACGAAAAACCACTTTTCAGCAACTCTAAACCAACTTTATTTTTTTTCCGGTGATATGAAGTCGAAAAAGAATACCGTTATTCCGTCATCTCTACCGACATTTATCATTTCATTTCGAGATTGAACCTCGAATCATCATTATTTGACATTGGTGAGACTGTGGAGCGAAAATTACTTGGTGATAAGATGATATGAACAAGCAGTGTATAATTCCCATGTTAAAAATATCTTGCCTCATTGTTCACTCTATTTTCTGTGCTCGATCTTGTAGCTCATTCTTTCATTCGTTAAACTTATATTAGCTTTCAGATTCTGAACATTTTATTTAACTGATATCACTTACCAGAAGACGGGGAAATGCTGCTTTGTGTACTAAAATATAAAAGTACTGTTAGCAGTTTAATTCTTAATAAATGAACACTTCAGTACTCACTTGATCGAAGATATGAAATGAACTAGCAGATACATGAAAATAAAATACATTATTCACTTTTGTAATTGAGCAAATTAATCACATCTAAATGAGAGATATCCAGCAGAATATAGAAACGACATTTGACTTAAAAGAACTTTCAGTAATAACTCACAGTTTATATGAAACTTCTAAAATAAGAAATACTTTAAACGTCATGTATAGTTATTTCTTTTTTAAAATAATATCCCTTTATCTCGATAGAATAGTTAGACATGTCATGGACCAAGTACACTGTAAGGTTTATTTATCACCATTCATAATATTACAATTCACCTACCTATGTGGATTTTCGGCAATGTCGGTATGAAAGTAAAGGTAGTGAAAACATAACAGGGAGAAGAAAAATAGGAAAACAAACAGAATCATTGCTTTAATTACCGTGTAATCAACAGGATTATTGAAAGCGAACAACATTTTGACAAATTTCACGACCTCACTGCTCAAACGGCAATTCTAATCAGCGCACATAACCCATTCGGCACCGTACTATCCATTCAACAAGTCACTATTTAAGGTCGGAAATTAAACTTAACGATCGTTTTAGGTTGAAATATATATGTCAGAGAGAGATTTTTCTGAAGATTTTGTTACTAAACTTTTCAGTTCTCGCCGGACATAGTTGAGTACAGAATTGTTTTTCCTTTATATTTAAGCACTATAAACACACCTCACTATCTTTCAAATCTACATTAAAAAAGACAATAATCTCTCCAAATTCACGCCATAATCATTGCACAAAATAAATTTCCATTCTATCGTTTTACTTCGAAATATAGTTAAAATAACAATCAGAGGCTGTCTTATCCAGAGATAGAAGGAAATAAATGAGAATTCTAATCCACGAGGATAGATCGAATAAAAAACAAAGGCTGTTTGTTCTAATGACGGGACAATCCGACAAAATAAATGAGATTTGCCACATGGAATTCATGTTGAAGTCAAACGTCTATCCAGTATGAATCACTCTACCTGCAAAAAGATTATGTAAACAACTTTTCACACCGGCCGACCATTTTACTTCATTAGAACTGCTGAAATCTCAGCTTTAAAAGCAGAAATTGCTTCCTTTTTATTTTGCTTCATCACTGAGAA